ATTTCTTACCAGGTAAAGCCAGAGCTGTGAATAACAACACATATAATTCACGCATACAACGATGGGTGCACGCACGCTATTGGCTGAGACAAGAACTCTTTTCGAGCATACACTGTCCAAAAAGAAAAGTGAAATCAATCTATGTGTGCTGTTTTCTTAACATAGTTATTGCGCAAGAAGCGCCTTGTGTAAAAATTATATAAGTTGTTAAATTTTCCTGTAAAATTATTCGTAAAAATCTAGGGTAATATATCATTTAAATAAAGCATGTATTTCATGGATAAAGCACAAACACTTTGCGTCGATCGTAAGTTCTAAACTTTTTCGCTCAATGTACTTCGAAAACGAAGCGACGCAAAGCAGCATCGACCAGCTTTGCTGAAGGCAGGCTTGCGACTAACTTCGTAGCTCGTGTCAGCATCAGCAAGCCGCGACTTCGGCATTCGTTCGTCGCATTCAAATGTATGGGCGTTACTCATCTTAGTGTTTATATTGTCTTTGGTATAACTGACAAGATAAGGTGTAGTACGATTAAATGAAAAAAAAATTAAATTAATAAACATACACTTTGAACAATTTAGATGCAATTGATTGGCCGAACACCAAAGTTGCATAGCGTTCAAATCGTCTTGTAGACGAGAATGATGTAGGGGGTTAGTGTATGATAGAAAAAGTTTGACATCGTCCGCATATATGAGTACACGGGCATGTGATATAACAGAGGGAAGATCATTTATAAAAAGTGTAAAGAGTAAAGGGCCAAGATGACTACCTTGAGAAACACCAGAAGTAACGTGAACCCTTTTAGAGGTAGTCAACCTCAGTATTACTCTTTGGGTCCTACCTTTTAAATAAGAATTAATCCATGCATCCAAGCATCATTTATCAAGGAAGTAAACTCAAGCAGATTGGCCGTAGTTGACCGATTCTTTACGAATCCATGCTGAACAGGGGAAACAACTGATTTGCAGAAATGCTGCAAATTCGAAGTGATTATTTTTCAAATAATTTAGGAATAGCGGACAGTTTTGCAATGCCCCTGTAATTTTGTATATCAGACTTCCCACCTTTCTTGTGAAAAGGAAGATTCTTTCCAAAGAGATAGAAAGACGGAAGTTTCAAGGGATAGATTAAAAAGCTTTAGCAATGGATAAAAAAGGGAAGAACTATACTCCTTGAGTAGACAACTAGGAATATTGTCCGGCCCAGGAGAGTAAGAAGATTTTAAAGAGTTTATAGCTCATAGGAGAGAGGAGTGTGAAATAATGGGGGGAGGTATAGAACTAGCGGAAGAAATAGTATAAGGCTAAGAATTAGTATTAGGACAGACTGGAGAGTAAGTTGATTGGAAAAAATTAGCAAAAAGGTTAGCAGAATCAGTGTCATTGCTAGCTTTATCCATCCCAAGAAAAAAAAAAGATGGCAAACTTGAAGATTTACGCTTCAAGCTTACAAAATTATAAAACTGTCTCGGATTTCGGGCGAATTGCCTTTTACTACCAATTAGATAATTCTCATAGCATTGAGAATTAATAAGAAAGAAGTTCGGCTTGGCTATGGAATATTTAGCCAAGTCTGTACACGAACAAGACTTTTTAAACTTTTTAAAATATTTGGATTTTACATTTTTTAGATGTGATAATCTGGGAGTAAGCCAGGGTGGTTTTGAAAAAGTAGTTGAAGGAATTGACTTAGGAATACACACATCTAAGAGGGAGTTTAGGGTAATATAAAAAAAATTATTGGGTGTATTCATATCAACTGAGTCATAAGAAAGACCAATCGGTTGAATAAATAAGCTGATTCAGCAAAGAATAATTTCCTTTGCGAAAGCAATAGCGGGGCTTAATGACTGATGAGCACGAAATGAAAGGATTACAAGTTAGCATTGCAATCTCTAAAGTAGGATAATAGACATCCTCAGGAAGAGATAAAGGAGGGGATCTAGACACATTAGAAATAAGGTAGTCGTTAACAAATACAATGTCAAGTGTTCCACTCATATGATTAAAAATTGAATTGATTTGAAACAACGAAAGATCAAGCATGCAGTCTATAAAATCGTGCTGTGCTGAGGGCACTAGATAAAGCAGTGAATAATGACCAAGAGATGTTCGGCAAATTAAAATCACCCAACACCATTAATAAGTCATTATCACGCACGTGTGAAGAAACTTCTTTAATACAAGTATTATGATTCATATAAACTTGAATATCAGAAGAAGGTGGGACATAAGAGCATCTTACATAGACAAATACAATGAATATCAGAAGACGGTGGGACATAAGAGCATCTTACATAGATATTCCGTGTAGGAAAAGACACCTTAACTGAGACAATCTCAGCGTCAGTAGGCGTACTAAAACAGAATAGTTCAGACTGGAGAGTGGCTTTAACGGCAATTAACACCCCACCACCTCGAGTCGGCCGATCATTTCTAAACAAAATAAAGTTATTCGGTAAAATCTCATAATCAGATATGGTTGAGTTTAACCATTTTTCTGAAAATGCTATTATATCCGAATCGAAGGAAGTGCTGGCCATGAAAAGATTTTTAAGCTTTGAAATGAGACCTCTGACATTCTGATAATGAATAAAGATTTGGTCAAAAGATGAAGCTAGTTTTTTGGGGCAGAAATGGTACCCTGTATTGAAGGGACTGGAAGGGTGACAGGCTGGTTACGCTTTTTAGGCTCACTCATGAACAATCATGTGTGGTGGCCAAAATTTGGGATCACAAATGATTGGGAACATATCATGTGAAACATTTATTTTGAATGATGATATTTCACGAGGGGTGGAGAAATTAAATTTGGTTATTGACATGCTAGCAGAAGATTTGCTAGCAATATAGGCTGCCAACGACTCAGAAGTGGCGTCCGACGAAAGTCGAGACACAAAAACTTGCCTACGAGGGGCAACTACCGTTACAGTAGGCGCTGATGGCGCTGTAGGTAATACAGGAGTTGGAGGAGCTAACGAGGCACAATGATTGTTTTTAACAATCTGGGCAAGATTGCGCGCAGGTCTACCTTTGCGGCCAGGAGCTGACGGGGCTGAGGCAGTTTGATTAATTGGGACGGGATAAGGTACGGGCTCTACTGGGACTAGTACAGGGGTTGAAACAGTGGTATGCTTATGCTCCTATTTGTATGTGCGTTGATAGTGTTCCATAGAGTAATAAACAGATACAGAGAGGCTTTTGGATCAAAAGCTTTCTTTTTAAATACTTGGTGCACGATACCTAGGCTGCAAAACAAATTGCAGACACAACCCCCGGCTGTCTTCAGTTACTTCTGCCGATACGCACAATTCAATGACAACTTCAAAACATTTTCCATCAGAACCAACAATAACCAAAATCGAAACAAACGACTCGACAATGAAAAAAGCACACACCAATTCTGTCCTTGCTATCCCTTTTTTTGTTTGAAGCCATTAAGTAATGAAGAGAAAGAGCTGAACTGACATTCTGAGCTTTATTAACCGTTTTAAAAACCACGAGACATAGATCGGGTTGGTCCGCAAACGCAAAATCAAACCAAAAAAAAGCTCATTTACCATAGGAAGCAACAACAAATCACTTGCAAAACAACAACAGTGCGTACGAAACCCAATTTGTTCTTAAGCCCCCGTTTTATCGACAATAGGTTTGTGAGCCATAATAAGGACATAGGAAACTCAGTGAAAGGGGAAAAAATGCCACTGAGTTTGCTGCTGGCTTCTCTGTCGTTCCTATAATGCAGCGCGTAGAAACAGCAACAACGCAATGCGGGTACTAAATTGTTGTTGCAAAGCCGAGTGACGGCTCAAGTAGGTAGAAAATTTGAATGCCTGCAGGCCATGGCATTCAGATCAAAGGGCTGGGCGCACGGCACACCATCATATATTATGACGTCACATTCAATAGAATTTTATTTCTTGTGATATTTTTCTACCTTTATTACTTACATTTAAATAACTTGTGAATGGTGTCTTTTATAGCAAATAATTTGTTGACATATGTAATCATTTTATATAGGAAATCATCGCACATAAAAAGCCTTGGGCTGTGACGTCATGTGCGCAACAGAACGTTGCAATCTTCTTAAATTCAAAGACTTCCCTTGGCTTGGCGGACACATACATATATGCAGTTTTGCACCAATATGTGTAAGATGAAACACATATACAACAACTATTAGGCGGGTAGCGGCATTGATACGCTTTTTTATAAGAATGGTATATAATTTAGAAAGAAAACAATTATTATTAACTGTACTAATAGTTGCATACTAAATACAAAGTTATATTTTTTATAGACATTAAATAAAAATATATGTATAAGATGGTTTGTGCTATTTGGTACATTGCTTATGAATAGTTAAAATACCCTATTTTGAAAAAAAGGTGCCTTGCTGGTCGAAAAATATAAAAATATGACGATCTGCTTGAAATTGTCATTGAATTGTGGGCATCGGCAGAAGTAGCTGCAGACAGCCGGGTGTTGTGTTTGCAATTTTTGTTTGCAACCTCGTTTTCGCTCAGGAAGTATTTCTAAAAAGAGCTTTTGATCCAAACGATCTTTATTACTCAATGATATGAACACATACATTCATATAGGTGCCATTTTGGAATTCTTTAAATAGAATTGTGAAATTATTGTATGTCATTCAGTTTGTTTGAGTTGCTATTTAAATTCTGGTGCAAATTCTAGATACATATGTACATATGTTAGAGCACTCTTGGCTTATATTAGTTTTTCGGAAAACAGACAAAGTTTGGCCTGCAATGACACTTAATATTGCAGTTTTATTTTAAATGATTAAATTTTATAAATATCTTTGCAAATATCTAGGCATATGACAAGTTTATGCCAGCTTAATTCTTTCTTATAGCTTGCACAAAAAGTATGAGAGTGAGCTAAATGAAGCTTAAAGTAAAAGCAATCAATTAAATAATAAATAACAGTATAAGAAACAATACTTTTTGTTATATTAATATTGCCATTAATACATACTCCTATTAATGTTGTGGGACTTTGTTGAATAGACCGTTTTCTTCGCCGTATTTCTTCAGTACCATCATTTGTGTCAACTGGTTCAGTAGCTTCCATGGGTAGCATCATCAAATTATTAGTTTCTTCTTTACTCTGAAAATACACCAAATTTAGAATCGGCACAGTCGAAGAAGTCAGACATATATTTATTATCATATTAATATACATATATTTTAATATATTTGTATTTATGTATACTATGTAGCCCGGCCTTGCCCGTGGCACGCATAAAATAAATGTTCTCAAAAATCTTTGAAAATGATTTTGAAATTGATCGGAACAACTATCATACAAACGTTTTCCGTCAATATACCACTGTTGCGGTGGGAATTTTTCAAATCGTTAAAACACGTATTTATTAAGTTCTTATGTATAGCTTAAAAAATAAATTTTGATGCAAATCGGAAAAAAAAAAACAGAAAATGAATTTGAGGGCGAAATGTCATCCACCAAATCTTTGACCTTCATTTCCACCAAGGAGGGATACATTTAAAGAAAAGTGTGAAACAGCCCTCAAATGAATTTAAACAAAGAACTTTGAAATTTAGTTTGAGTCCGATCGGATGGTAAACAAAAATGTTTCATACAAACGTTTTTCGATTTTTCCATACTTACGGGATTTTCTCGAAACCCCGCATTAGGATGCAGCTAACGTTGGCCATCAATCAGTAAGTCAGGACAAAGGGTTTTATTTATATAGATATGTCACCATCTCTTGTTACATTAATTAAAATATACTCAATTTTGCACTTGCCCTTATTTTAAGAATATCCTTGCAGATATCTGTCATTTTTTTATTTTTAAGTAAATTGGTTATAATACTAAAGACTAAGCCTCGCAGTAGACCAATTGGTTTAAACAATGGTAAACAACTGTCTCTACGTAAATCAACGGTTGATAGGGGGAAAGGAGAATCGGTTTGACCTACATTATTACGTTATCCTTGAATCCGATGTTGTCGCGGCTTTTCCACCACAAGGGTAAGTCAATTTCCTAACCACCTTTCTGGAACTCACCCATTGCTGATTAAATAACTGTACATTGCGTTTCTATATTAAATGATTTTTTATCTCCTCACTAGAAATAGTGAGTCCACATGTCAGGAGAATATTAGGAGCCGGCTACACAACCGCGCTTTGGTCCACTCCCTGGAAATGATTACCCGGCGACTGCACTGCAGGCATCCAGAGGTACTATTTATTATTTTTATTTTCATCAAATGTGTAGTCCCCAGAGATCCATTATCCACATGACCTGATAACCCAAAACCAGGCAATACAATACATAGATAAGAAAAGCAAAAAATTATAACATAGCCCTAGAGAGACTTGATTTGACATCAACCCTTTCGAAGTTCGTTACCATACTTTAAATATCTTGTTCACCTTTATATAAATATCTAATTAGAAATACTTAAAATTCTATAGAAAATCTCAAAAGTGAGAGTTATTTACCATAGTTATGCACATAAGGACCTGCAAAATAAACATTCCGAAAGATAAAAATGCTAGTGTGGTCAAAGCAACATCTGTGATATCTTTAAGGCTGATTTCCTTAAGTTGTTTCGTTGGCTGAGATATTGCATTTGACAGCTCTGATGGAGTTTGATGGATCCCATAGTCTTCCAAAACAGTTTCGTAACCTGCAAAACTTAATATTATCATATAACTCACAATAAATAAAAAGAATCTTACCAATTTTGTTAATTTGCTTAGTTTTAACACCAAGCTGTGGACTTTTAAATAATAATCGGGGCATCTGCTTTACCTTATGTGAAACCTATAAGAGTAAATTAAACATATATTTTACTTTGGGTTTTTGATTTAAAATCCGTTCAACATATATATTTTCACGAAACTGCTATAAAATTATATTTGTATTAAATTTCTTTTAAATGGTTTGAATTTGATTTTTCAATATATATCAAGTAAATACTAAAAATGAATCGACACATGGATCGCATCAAAAGGCGAACTATTCTTCTGAACTGGTATCCGAAAATTGACAGAAAGATGGGAAAAAGTAGTGGCTAGCGATGGACAATACTTTGAATAATCGATTTGTAACCGTTTTTGCTGAACAAAGCCTCAATTTTCGAAAAAACAACCTTTATTTTATTAGTTTGCTAAGCCAAAAACATTTACCGTTATTTCCTTGACTAATTTCTTGACTAATTGATGATCCCGATTGCGGATCAATGCAGTCTGTTCAACTGTTTTGACCTTTACAACTTGCTACACAGGCTAATAACTCACAAAAATGAACTAGACGTTTCTCTTACCAGGGCGCTTAGGAGTCATCGCCTGAAAGGAATCTGTCCGAAACGTAACTGGACACATGGTGCACTCCTCTATGGACAAACGCACACCAGTGTCAGTCCTGGTCTCTATTGTCTCACGCCGTCAAAAACAGTCCTTTAACTTATTACCGCAAACATTGGCCAGAATAAAAAAAAATCGATTTAAATTGTAGCACAGAAAAAAATTACAATGTTTGTTGATAGAAAGCGAAGCAGACGCGCTTGAACTCATGTGTGTACATGTATACAGAAATTCTTGCAATTTGCGCTGGTGCCGCAAACACATGTTTCTTAACCGATCTTCATGAAATTTTCTACAGAATATCTTATTGTACCAAAAAAAATTTGTGTATTCTCAAAAAGTCAATTGCATTTAAATTGTGGCTTGACCTAAAGCTCTGCGGAGTTGGCGGGGAGGTGGCGATATATATAAAATGAAAGGTACTTGATATATATAAATTAAGTGTCTTTTGAGTGTATTGATTAAGTTACATTCATTTGTTGCCCGTTTGGCAATTATGTTTTACGGCTTGGTGCCGGAGTACCGACGTGTTGAACTAACGACGTTTATTTCAGAGCTTAAAACATGCGATACAATTCTTAGGGCTTAAAGGTAACAGAATATGATTCTTAAACTATTTCTTCGATCATAGCGGCCACGCAAATATGCTGTGTCTGCCGGCTATGCAATTGTGGTCGGAGTCATATTCTAGCCAACCGTTCGTTGACTCCGCCCAACTACTCCCCCTTTAAGACCAAGGCCGCCCTCGGCCGACCCTATTTCTGCGATCACTTCTCTTAAGTGTAGCGCAGACTTTCTGGCGCTGGTGATTCGCCAAAACGCAAGTCCGACGCCGATGAGCAAAACGCATACCACTCCCACGATACATATTATCTGGTATACTACTTTGCTACTCAGGTCCTTTTTGAATTTCTGGATCTCCTCCAGGTTACTTTCACTCAGTTATCTGGCCATCTACGAAAGTGATAGCGTCTAAATTTCTTGGTTGGATTTCGCAATTCGCTATCGCGCCTGCGTGGAGCTCTCTGACGCATGATGCTAGATGACAAAATCTGGCCCCCGGAGAGGCGGTGCAATTTTCGAGAGCATGCGTTTTCCCATCGCAATCTGCCACGACGTTATTCATCATGCGTAGTATGAAATTCTTATGTATGACCGGGAAAATCGTGACCTTTTTGCAAGGAAATTTAATTTTTGGAATTTTAATAATAAAATAAAGGATGTTAATGGACTGTAAAACTTTCACGGACGCAACGGACATAACATTCCCTATGGGAGTGTTAGTGGGTTCCTCCAGCCAAACTGATGCCAAATCTGAATGATCGAGAATGTTTGGGCTAACAATGTTAACCTTTGCAAGAATTATTGCCAGCATTAGATTTCGCAACTCCATCATTAACATTCGATTTCTGGCTAGCAATGTCTCATATAAATGGCCAGTATCGGCTTGAGTGTCTTTAGTTGTTTTGAGAATTTTATTGACTGTAGAAATAATTTGATTAATTTGTACCTGGATTCTTGTGTTAATTTCTACTTGCTTATTGTTTGAATTAATTATTTGTGCCTCAACGAACCGAGTTTTTTCTAAATCGCCGGCAACCGGTGTGCCTGGCCACTCTGTGGTGCGCGCCCAACGCCTCTAGTAAATCTCGGAGGTGATCTGCATCCACGCTCAGAAGCTTTTCCATATGCGACTGTGGGAACATGTCATTCAATTTGACCGTTTCTTCTACCACACGCATATATTCTGAGAGATTCGCTGAATGTTTAACGTAGGCGTATTATTCCCATCAACAATGGGGATGAATTTGGACTGAGAGTAGTCCGTGACGCGTGCCGAAGTCAAGGACAGGAAGAAGGGAAGGACAAATCCAAACCTGTGGAGTGAAGTTTTCGTTGTTATCTATTTTTAGTTTTGTGAAGCCATATCCTACCACCAAAAAGCGACTTAATATAAAATGTAATGAAACTTATACTAAATAAGAATTGCGCCAAGTGACTTTTAAAAGTATAAAAAATGTATGCAAGACTCGTTTGCTGGAATTATTTCAAATTATTATTACCATCCTCCCATTAATGAGGACCGTGGTCCCCAGGTCCGCTTGTATAGTTCTTGCCTCGCACAATGGCGTAAGTTTATTTCCAAGCCTTCGGTTGGACTTGACTAAAACCTTTTCACCGACCTCAAAGACTCTATTCAACCGGTAGGCGTTCTCTTTAGTTCTGAGCGCGATCTTGTATTTCTTGTTGAGGCTCAATCGGATGTGCTTGAACAACGTCAACTGATCTTTTATTAATGACCGAGTGGACTGACTTGTACTCAGTATTTGCCAGTAAAATTAACTCATTGGTGTCGCTTATGTTCTTGTCGATTTTTAAACATCTGGAAAGCTCTAACAACGTGCTATGAAAGCGCTCTAATTGTCCATTCGACACACTATGCAAGGGTGGCGCGTTTGACATACTCACTCCAAACTTATTGGACAGCAAGGTTGAAATAGTCCGTGAATACAATGCTGGTTCATTGTCACAGTGTATCGATTTCGCTTTTACAAAAAAGTTCATGAGCTGAAGCAATGCTGGCTTCAGGTCCTCAATGGTCATTGATGAGATTGGCTGTACGACAGCAAATTTTGAAAACTTGCCGCTGCAAGTAAGGAAAAATTTGTTGTCAGTCGAGAAGATATCTACGTATAGCATCTCTCCAACATGCGACGGGATTGGTGTTTCACCCAACTCTTGTTTTCTAGGGTGTCTATCGTATTTGGCCTTAGCGCACGTTTTGCAGTTTTGCACAATTCCGTTCGCTAGTTCGGCCATTTTCGGGAAGTAGTATTCAGAGATAACCTGTTTCAAGTTCTCTTGAGTAGACCTGTGTGCCCTATTGTGCTCAGCTGTGAGTCAGTCGGGATACCTCAGCATGACATCTTCTGATGGCAAAATATTACATAGTTTTTGAAACGCACGTTGTTGCGTTTCGGAGAACTGCACCTGGATGTTCCGCGATCTATGCCTACTGATTGTTCCATTTTCCCCTTTTAGAATTAACAGCCATTGCTATTGCTGCGAAGTCTTTTATGAAACATCTATAATAACTTGCGAGACTCAGAAATGACCTAACTTCGAAAAGCGTTTTCGGCTCTAGGAAGTCCTGTATGGCTTTCACCTTTTCCGGGTCTGTTGTCGCGCCGTTGCAAGTGACTATAAACCCAAGAAAGTTCACACTTTTTTTAAAAAAGCGTGATTTTTCTTCTGACACCCTTGTTCAGCAGGTTTTGAATCTCTTTATTGACGAAGTCATCTGCCCCCATAGGATATGGGCAAGGTTTTGCATAAATGGGTTCCTCATTTATTGTTCTTATAGTGGCCACCGCCGACGTATTGTATGGTAAGGCCTCATTGGGGTCTTCAAAGGCCTTTTCCTGTCTTTTAGCAGTTTCAGGAATTTGTCCTTTACTAAAGTAGGTGCATCTGAGCAATCTACGTCAGTGAAATTGACATTAGTGTTCAATTTCTGAACCCCATTTAAGCTGACCTGACGCTAAGCAAAGCGATGCCCCTGCCTGTGTTAACAGGTCGAGGCCTTTTATTCCATCGAAAGTTGACAGGTCCGATAAATGAAAAAATGTTGCCTTTATGTTGAACATTGAGACAAAACATTTTTGCGTGATTCTAGTTGTGCCATGAATCGAGTGGATTGTGAATGGACAATCAACTGGTCGGAAGCCTTTTAACCCTTCATGTGGTCTGATAAAGACGCACCCGTGTCTATGAGGAATTTCATATCGGCCCTGCAACTCTTCGCCCGATGACGGGTAACAGGGATCTACCCCTAAAAAATAAACAGCATCTTAATCATAGCTAGCGCTCACGTCATCCTCAATTTGCGCCTCTGCGCTAGAGGCGGCATTAGCATACGTTCGCGATCCTTGTTCCGCGTCCTGCGTTACATGATTCACCCTTTGTTGCCTTTTTTGAAAGCCCGTGTGATCAGATGATGCCTGTTTTCTATTCAGATACCCCGGTGCCTGTGTGAGTTGGAGGATCCTTGAAAATGAAGGATCTACCTTCATGGGTTCCTGTCCACCATTTTTTTTTTGCTGCCGACCACTTCGTTGATCGGACTGACCCTGTTTTTTCTGCTGTTCAGAATGTCTATCTTGCTGTCAGCCCTGTGTCTTTGTATTCGGCCTACGCTCTTTTTCTTTTTGGCGTTTGGCAAAATTAGCCGCCAGAGCAAATCTTTCGTGGTTTGATTCCACCTCCTGAGCAAGCGCCAGTGCCGAAGGCAGATCTCTAGGCTTGGCTGCGAAGAGCACATCCGTGAGATTGCGCTAAAGCCCCGATACGAAAATGCGCAACTCGTCATCACGGAGCTTCTCACAAAGACCTTTTGCCATAAGACATATTGACCATGTTGGTCAGTAGGGTTAGTTTTTTCTCCACTTCGTCAAAATATTGGAGTAGGGGCAAGCCGCCCTGCCTCAAGGTGCCTAACTCTTGTTCAATTACATGGATCGGCCTTTTGTCACTATATGTGAAATCAAGGCGATTTATTATCGCATCGAAATTTATCACAGTGCCAAATGAGGCCAGCACTGCATCCGTGGGGCTCCTTATTTTTCTTCTTATAATTATAACGGCCTGATAATGCCGAGAACTGCCATTATATGGCTTGAAAATGTGGTAGGCGGCTTATGCCGCTTGCCTCCAAGAAACATAAGATTCCTGTATTCCTGCAAACTCAGGTAAGCATTTGACGGCGTCTAGTGGCTCGTCGCAGCGAATGTCATTTATAATCTCAATAGCAGCATACGCTACTACTTATGGGGCAGCAACGTTTGCTGCAGCCATTTGTTAGGATAATTCATTAATTCTCTGCACTAATAGCTGCTCTCTTTGCTGGTTTGCATTGGCTTGTTCTGTTAGGGCATTGCTTATGGCCGTTTGAATTATCTCTCTAAGTTGTTCTGGATCCATTTTGTTCGAAGTTGGGGGGACTGTAGGGGCAAGTCGTAGAGCTGGGATTCTGATGCGGTTGTCACAGTCAGAATCCGAGTCGCTAGAGTTCTTGCGGGGGGTCCTATACTGACCGAAAGAGTATTTCATGGGCATTAAAAGCAAAAACAAATAAATGCACGCGCGGTCTAGCGGATACAAAAACAAAACAGAAAGTCGAAAGATGGGTCGAATTACGCCTCAGCTCTCAACCACGAGAATCGCATAAGCAAGAAAGTATGTACCGTTGCAGCACAATTTTTAGAGCGGCATAAAAAGTAACACAAAGTAATTTTTTTTTTTTTATAAAATTTGTTTACTGCTGTCAAATCGAATTCTCTTGTGTTCTTAGTCTAGCAGATAATTTGTTGCAAAATATAACGCATGCAAGATTTCTCCTCTCCTTGTTTCTTTTGTTTTTTTTTTTTTTTTTTAATTCGATCAGCTTTAATAACAGATTTGGCTAAAGTGCCCACTTACATGATTTTTATGATTTATTTTAGTCACTACACCAGCCACGTTTGCGGGTCCAACGCCGCAGTCACGCACTTGTTATTCGTAGTCGCTCCCTTCGCCACAGTCTCCGCTGCCCGAAGAGCTCCAGCGGCTTCGGTGTAAAAATATATGTAAATCGCACTGCGCTTGAGCGCACCTTTGTGAATCACAAGATTATGATCGCTAATTCACTGTAACTGCAGCTTATTGATTCTTGTTGTAGTGTTCACTGCGCAACTACATTTGTTAACTCACTGTCATTATTATTATTATTAGTGATTAGCTTATTATTTTTATTATTTTATTTTTGTAATGTTCATTGCGCGGCACTGTTGGTGTGACCGCGAATTAATGTTCGCTTTGTAAGAATTTTTTTTTTTTGCAATCGCGTGGGTAATCGTAACTACCACTAGTTGGTCGCCAATTAAGTGTCTTTTGAGTGTATTGATTAAGTGACATTCATTTTTTGCCCGTTTGGCAATTATGTTTTATGGCTTGGTTCCCGAATTCCGGACATGTTGAACTAACGACGTTTATTTCAGAACTAAAAACATGCGATACAATTCTTAGTGCTTAAAGCTAACAGAATATGATTCTTAAATTATTTCTTCGTTCATAGCGGCCACGCAAATATGCTGTGTCTGCCGGCTATGCTGCGACATCCGGCCCAATGCTTATTAAGCAATTGTGGTCGGAGTTATATTCTGGCCAACCGTTCGTTGACTACGCTTAACTTATATAATATTCTAGAAGTTTGGTGTTTGGTGACGCTAGGTCTTTTTCATTGCTCAAAAAACAGGATGTTGATATCGATTTTTATCGATTCCTTGGAAACGGAGTAAGTCATCGATTTTTGGAAACAAACTCGACCTGCGCAGGCACTAGGGACCTACGGCTAAAGATTCAAGTCTCTAACTCTTAAAGGTTCTGATATTCTTCTGTTCACACATATGGACAGACGGACGGACAGACAGACAGACCGCCGGGCATGGCTAGATCGACTCGGCTATTGATGCCGATCTAGAATATATATACTATATGCTTCCTTCTGCCTGTTACATACATTTACATGTTGCACAAATACAATATACCCTTTTTACCCATTTTTAATGGGCTCAGTGTATAAAAAGATTATATATGAAAGTAAAAAAAAATTGGTGGGCCACCCTTTCTGTTTTATAACAGCCTCTAAACGTTTCGGCATAGAATTAATCAATTTTTTGGTCGTTTCCACCCCAATATTTGGCCATTCTTCCAATAAACCCGTTTTCCTGACTTTTGTTGGAAATGGCCCGTTTTTTTATTCTTCTATACAGTTCCTCCTATAAATGTTCAATTGGGTTTACATCAGAAGATTATGGCGGATACACACCGTGTGACTGTTTTCGCAGGGTTTTTTTTTTCGAAGGCAGTATTTCGCTGGCGCCACACGGTAATTTTGTCATCTGAGCGAAAGATAGTAAATTTGCTTCCATCAGAAAACAATACTTCGTCCAGAAAACAAATGGCTGACTTTTATAATTTGCGTACTCCAAACGATTAATTTTATTGGCAGAAGAAACAAGTGTTTTACGTTAGCAACTCGTGCTTTGTAATTGACCTCATGCAGTCATTGAGTGTACTTTTGTTCCAAATTAATTTTGAGCCTCAGCAGTTTTTTGTGGAGAATTATTTTGCGCTGATGTTCCGTGGTTTCTTTTTGTTTCGGACTAATATTTGACTTTTTTTATTGTTTAGGACAAAATTCAATTCTAAATTCGACAAATATCTACGATTTTAAATAACGGTAGGTTGCAACATATATTCTTGCTAATAGGGTTGCCAGATGGGTAAAAGCATGAAGATAAATCTACTAAAAACAAAAGGAAGCCTATATTCTTGTTTCAGAAAAATTTTCAATTTAAAAAAAAAAAAATTTAATAAAATTACTGTTATGTTTTTGGTACAAAACTTAAACTGATTCTTGTAGGAAAATAGCTGGTTTATACAGGAAAATTAATTCGGATGTATGTTTGTTACCAAAGAGGGATGCACAATGGGTGGAAAGTAGAAAATGCTTGCTGTGCCAATACTTCTGTGAATATGCATATGAACTTTAAATAGAAAGCAAGTTTGGCTGATTCTAATATTTTACTAAGCTAATATCAAATAAGTACTTATTTAAAATTATAACACTGCAAAGTTACACACATTTTTTATGTCAATACATTGCTCCATTATTAATTTAGATTAGCAGCCAATAAAATGGTTAATTAGAAAATATATTTAAGTTATAAACAAATTTTAAAGAAAAAGAAGAATTAAAAAATTCAATAAAAAATTAATTTTGAAAGGTACAATTTATTAATTGAACAAAAGTTTAAAATTTATCATTTATTTATCTATATGCCATTGAAAAATAAATCAATACACGAGCCTGATTGTGTTTTTTTAATTCTTGTAAAGTAAAAAAAGGCAATTGTGGTTGATTTAAATTTGTACGCATTAAACACTGATAAGCCGATTTCACATGTCAAGGTAACACAACTGGTAAGCTGAGCCCAACAAAATTATGGGCCCGATTCAAATCCAAGCTTTAATTGAAACCACAGTTGCCCATACCTTGCGGCAACAAGATCCTATATTCCAGCTGCAGTTAAATCAAATGAAGGCACAGGTTAACAGCTTACGTATAGAGGCCCCCCTTGTTGAAACCTGTCAGAAAATATCTGTTTGGCCAGGTGTAACGTGCAATATACCGTTCGATATAGTAAAATCGGTACCCGACTTTAATGGTGTTGCTGACGAATAGCAGCATGGAGGCAATCCGCCACAGATGCTTACGAGCCTTTCAAACCATACGATGGCAGTAGTGGCCATTACCAAGTCGTTAAAACAAAATTCGAGGACCAGCAAGAGCATTACTAGTTTCTCGCAATACGGTAGTAAGCTACAGCAAAGCTAGGTTAGACTGTACCTATGCTAATAAGACATCACAACGCCTTCTGCGACAGGGGCTAGAGATGGTCAGATAAGGTGATTTAGGACTCATGGATTATTACAATGAAGCTGAACAAATGTCGACATAAGTAAACAATAAAATTGTCATGTCCCACGAAACTGTAAAAAAAATCCCTAAAAGTAATTTTTTTTATGGCACAGTCAAAAGACTTGCCAATCCGCTCTGGCTCTGGTCAAAGAAGCGGAGGCCAGCATTGAGCGAAGCGCATTCTCAGCTTCCTTTGTCAGGGTTATTGAAGAGAAAGCGCAAGCAACCGAAAATAATAAGAATTGCTTGCAATTAATCAAGAATATAATGGGAATGAAGGTCAAGAACGCAAGAACCGATGGAGGCTGATTCTTCGCCTAAACGTAGACAGTGATCAAGGAATATCCCAAAGCATTGGGACACAGGCACAAAAAAGACACAACACGTCAGACTGCGCAACAGGGCCAAGATGCCAGTGGGTCAACAACATGGCTTAAATCATCCCTGCTGACCAAAAACAGAGCTGTGGGGAGACAGAGTCGAAAGCTATAGCCAGTATAGCAATGATAAAGAGTCCATTAGCTACAATGACTCGTTGCATTTTTCAGAGAACGTTCGCGACTATCGTTTATTAAATGACAGTTGGCTATGAGAATTTTCAAAATTTTGGTAAACAGGCGGGCGGCTAAAAACTACGTTAGGTGCATAAATGAGTAAAGAGAGTAGTGTCAGCCGATAAGCCCTTCACTGTGAACTCAGTTCACGGCGACAGTAAAATTCTAAACAAATGCCTTTTGAAGATATTTGGCCAGGATTCTTTCTGCAAGACAGGTTAAGGAACCCATCAAGATTGTAGTAAAAAGTTAGAGTACCTCAGCTGTGAAAGTGTAAGCTTTACTAATGCCAATGACGTTGTGGTGCCAACCTCAGTCAAAACAAAGTTTACAGATATGATTCTAATAGCCTCTGTCCACTGAACACATTCGAAAATTTCATATTATTACAAAATGTGGCCACGTTTCCCCATAAGAAAAGATAATTAAATTCGAACATTACGTGTTTTTGCGAAGATTAATCGAGATTTCTATCGACGTTCTGAAAAATGTGAAAGTATCGTAACCATAACAGCTGATATATCAAAGAAGGCAATCGGCAACTTTAAATAAGTAATTTAAAATTAGAATAATCCCACTGTTTTTTAGTTTAAACATGGCGAAATGTCATAAAGAGTATCTAAAATGGAGCCCTTACTTCAAAGGCACAATTCTCGAATTTATGTAAATTAAAGCAATTCGATCAGCTGTTTTTTTTTTAAAGAAGCGTTACTTTTGCGACTCACATGTTACCGACAACCGGTGGAACATAATATGAGAAACATGAAAATGTGACATTTCTTAAGCCAGTGGACAGAGGCTATAAAGAGGAAATGCGTTTTTGTTTGCTCAATTCGAGAAATAGATAATGAAGCAGTCTACTCAAAATTGTACCCACACCCCATGGGAGAGTCGACCTTCATAAGCAATGACAGCAATGAACCTATTGCTAAGCGATGACATTATCAGGTCGCCATACAACAACCAACAGAGAGAGTACTTAAGTGAGAGTGATGGACTTGTTTTACTTGTGCTCCAAGATTTTTATATATTTTTGCGCTTTAATCCTGGTTTTTATTTCAAAATTTTGCATTTTTCGGTGCTTTATTTAAAAAGCTTTTATAAATTGTGCAAAGTGTTATCTATCGTGCAGCGTAAATCTGTTAATTATTGCAGTGTCAGTTCCGTGCTGTTGTTATTGCCTGTTTTGATTCTGTTGCTCCCCTGTGCATGCACTTGTGCTTGTGCATCACGCTCTCGCAAATTTGTTCTATTGTTTTTTGCTCCAAACAATTTGTTTGTGTACGAATAATTGTTTTTTGACTATTTACTTGCTCTATCTTGTGGACCGTTTTCGTTTTGCTCTACGCTCTCGCAACTTGCATCCGCATTATGCATTAATAATTATGTCGTGCTGTAAGAAACCGTGCACGTTCAAGTAGGCTAATTCTGCACTGCCGCAATTTGTTAATTGCTGGCTGTGTGAGAATATGATGCATGCTAAATGTGCAGGTCTCACTGGGCGGGATTGCGACAAGATCGCTGCAATTGCCAAGAAGGGCTGCGGCGGCTTCCGTTCGTGTCCAGATTGCATCGACAAGCAAATTGATTTCTTCAGAATGTATAATTCTGTGAGAAATCAATTCTTAAAATTGAATAATGTGGCTAAGCAACTATCGAGTAATTTAGAGTCGGGTTTTGAGTTGCGAATTCGAATCACCAACAAATCGCCGGTTGGAGCCTCAACTTTTGCAATTGCCCTCTACGTCTGTTCAGACACCTACGCCTCTCTTGTACCTTCCAAGCAACTTGGATGTATCTCCAATGTTGTCTTTATCGCCTTATCTAAGCGACTGTCCAACTACCCTTGTTTCAACCCCTTTAGTAGTCCCAGTAGAGCCCGTACCTGATCCCGTCCCAGTTAATCAAACTGCCTCAGCCGCGTCAGCTCCTGCGCGCAATCTTTCCCAGATTGTTATAAGCAATCATTGTGCCTCGTTAGCTCCTCCAACTCCTGTATTACCTTCAGCACCATCAGCGCCTACTTTAACGGAAGTTGCCCTTCGTAGGCAAGTTTTTGTGTCTCGTCTTTCGTCGGACACCACTTCTGAGTCATTGGCAGCCTATATTGCTAGCAAATCTTCTGCTAGCGTGTCAATAACCAAATTTAATTGCTCCACCCCTCGTGAAATATCATCATTCAAAATAGATGTTTCACATGATATGTTCCCAATCATTTGTGATCCCAAATTTTGGCCTCCACACATGATTGTTCACGAGTTCAAGCCTAAAAAGCGTAACCAGCCTGTCACCCTTCCAGTCCCTTCATTACAGGGTACCATTTCGGCCCCAAAAAACTAGCTTCATCTTCTGACCAAATCTTTATTCATCATCAGAATGTTAGAGGTCTCATTTCAGAGCTTAAAATTCTTTTCATGGCCAGCACTTCCTTCGATTCGGATATAATAGCATTTTCAACAACATGGATAAACTCAACCATATCTGATTTTGAAATTTTACCGAATAACTTTATTTTGTTTAGAAATGATCGGCCGACTCGAGGTGGTGGGGTGTTAATTGCCGTTAAAGCCACTCTCCAGTCTGAACTATTCTGTTTTAGTACGCCTACTGACGCTGAGATTGTCTCAGTTATGGTGTCTTTTCCTACACGGAATATCTATATGACATGCTCTTATGTCCCTCCTTCTTCTGATATTCAAGTTTATATGAAACATATTACTTGTATTTAAGGGGTTTCATCACACGTGCGGGATGATGACCATAAATATGGTGTTGGGTGATTTTAATTAGCCGAATATCTCTTGGTCATTATTCATATTATCTAGTTCCCGCAGGACACCAAGATTTTATAGATTGCATGCTAGTTGTTTCAAATAAATCCAATGTCTAATCATTTGGATAGATTACTTGATCTTGTTTCTGTTAACGATTACCTTACCAAATGTGTATCATCCTACATTAGAGATTCCTATGTTCATAAGCTACCTCCAAGCCCCGCCGTTGTTTTCGCTAAGGAAATTCTTCCTCGCTTAATCAAAGTATCCATGCAACCAATTGGTCTGTTTTATATGACGCGGTTGATAAGAATGTTACTATTAAATTTTTATATAATACCCTGAACTTCATTATGACATAACATATTATTCTCACTGCCACAAGAGTTATCTTTCTCGTTGCAAAAAACTATTTATTCAAAACCCGAAAAGGTTTTATAATTTTGTAAACTTAAAGAGTAAAGCTTCAAGTTTTCCAACTTCTTTTTCTCTCGGGTTAGATAAAGTTAGCAATGATTCTGACTCTGATTTTTCCACCTTACACCTTCCATCATCACCTTACTCTTCCGTCTGTCCTAATAACAATTCTTACTATTACAATATTACTTCATCCGCTTCTGTACCTGCTCCTTTTATATCCCAATCTTCTCTTCTTTCTGCTATAAATTCTTTAAAATTTTCTTACTCTCCTGGACCTGACAATGTTCCTAGTTGTCTACTCAAGGAGTGTAATTCTTCCCTTCTTCGCCCATTGCTTAAGCTTTTTAATCTATCCTATCTTCTGTCTTTCCATCTCTTTGGAAATAATCTTATATCAAATCTCTCCACAAGAAAGGTGGGAAGTCTGATATACAAAATTACAATGGCATTGCAAAACTGTCTGCTATTCTTAAATTATTTGAAGAAATAATTACTTCGAATTTGCATATTTTTTTTTATTTTTGCGAATCAGTTGCCCTGCTCAACATGGATTCGTAAAGAATCAGTCAACTACGACCAATCTACTAGAGTTGGCTTCCTTGGCTTAGTTCCTTGCTTTGCATACGTTCTTATTTAAAATTCAGGACCCAAGGAGTAATGCTGAACCACACTCCCTCTAAGCAGGTTCACGTTACTTCTGGTTTTCCTCGTTCCTTCCGTTCCTCCGTTCGCTTTGATTCTAAGCTCAGCTTCAATCTGCATAAAGACACCATCGTTAATGGGGCAAAAGGTGTACTTGGATTCATTAAACGATGGCCTTAAGAGTTTAACGGTCTTTTTAAATCGAAACTACATCCCTCTTGCTCGCCCTATCCTTAAATACTGCTCTTGTACCTAGTCTTCGCAGTTTAACGATAGCCAGGATCGTATTTAATCGGCTTCGATTCTCTGTTCCGTCCAGCCCAACCAGAAATTATCGCCCCTTATTCCTATCTATGTGCAGAACAGACTACGCTATGCACAATCCCTTTGGCGTGCATCACGTTTTTCCTACCCCTAATAAAATCGTTGCTTTCAAGATACCTTCGGGTAGTCACCATTCCTATCTTTGAGCAGGGGCATAGCTTGCCGGACATTCTACAAATTTTCCCCAACCGGGTGATTTCCCATTACTATTTCTCTATCCTATTTACATAAAATTCTACATATCCTGTTTAATTCCATTTCTTTATTAATAACTCCTCTCTTTCTTTTATCCTATATACTGTATTTTATTAATTAATATAGTAAATAAAGATTATTTTTAAGTTTTACTAAAAAACATTATTTTCTCTA